GGAGGTGGCTCCCTCTCTCCCCTCTGCTACTGTGTGCTCTCTGGGCCCAGGCAGAGCCAGCATCCTGGGTGCTCTTCCTGGAGTGCAGGGGCCAAGGCCTCCCCCTCTTGTGTATCTGCTTTCCTGCTTAGCCACTCATGGCTTGGCTTCTGCCACTTTACTGACACGTGTGTTGTATTTCGCGCCAGGCCTGTGTCTGCCAAGGCACATCCTGTGTGCCAGTCTTGTTTCCAGCACATAGACATTCCTTAGCATCGCTGACATGTGGGGTCATGACTCCTTTATTCTCTGTTCCCTCTCCCTCTCCCCTGGTCCTCCCTGTCTTTCTCTCCTTCTCTCACTCACTTGCTCGCTCACACTCTCTCTCCCTCCCTCTTTCTCTCTCTTCCTCTTCCTCTCTCACTGTCTCTCTCCCTCACTCTACCTCATTCTCCCACCCTCTGTCTCTCTCTCTCTCTCACTGTCTCTCCCTCCCTCCCTCTCTCTCTCCCCTCCCTCTCTCTCTCATACACACACACATTCTCAGTCTCACATACACACACACACACACACACACACACACACACATTGGAGCCAGTATCTGAACAGCCCATATTTGCATCAAAATCTTTGTTACACGTAATGCACGTCCAGAGCTCCTCTAGATGCCAACATCCCCAAAGCTTCTGCTAGACTAGGACCAAGCCACTTGTTGGCCCCTGTCCTCAATACAGCGTGGAGCGAGATAGATTCCTGGATACTCTAGCTGATATTCCTGGTTCTCATTAGATGAGATTTTTTTTTGGCTTTTTGGGTCACACCCAGCAATGCTCAGGGTTTGCTCCTGGCTCTGTACTCAGAAATTACTCCTGGCGGTGCTCAGGGGACCATATGGGATGCGGGGAATCGAACCCGGGCCGGCCGCATGCAAGGCAAATGCCCTCCCCACTGTGCTATTGCTCCAACTCCTAGACAAGATCTTAAGGAGAACTACAATCCCATTTATTGAGATTTCCTGTAATAAAAATTATAAAGCAAAGTCATTGCCCATCTGGCAAAAAATAAAAGCTCTCTCCAAGCACAAACATTATATGGTAACACTTGACACTCGGCCCCCAGATCCCAGGAATTGTCTCTGTTTGCTCCATTATATGAGCCAGTCTGTCATTCAGAAAGATTTTATATGAGCTCACATGGCCAATTGTTATTCTGGGTGGACACGTGGACCCCAGTAGGGTATCCAGGATGCTGTGCCCAGGGTTTGCTGTTCAGTCACACCTTTTATTTCTGGGTGCAGAACTGGCTCCTGTTGCTTTTATTTACAAGTCGCTGAAACGCCTTTAACCTGGGAAAATGTCAGATGTGAAAAGTGCCTGGATAACTCGTGACATTCTGTTACTCAGATGCAACATCGTTTAATGACAGAGAAAGTTACAGCTTGCCATTATGCATTGACAGTCTTTATATTGGAGGGTTTTGTGACAACTGGATCTTCATCTGTGAAAAATCAGACTTTCAGAGAACTTGTGGACAGTCTCTAATTGAGACTTGACGTGGTTAAACTGGATGGAGTAGAGGGAACAAAAGCTGTTATCTGGGGTTGGTATGTTTCTTACAGTAGCATAAATGTACACTAGCTATTGTTAATAAAGGAATGTGAGGCTGGTGAGAAAATAGCCCTAAACTGTTGTCTTTTTTTAAAAAAAATCAGTCTAATGGACTTTTACTTAACTGCTTGCCAGCCAGCATTTCCATCAAGCAATTATGAATGAATAGTGAACACATCAGTCTACTCATCACCATTTAGGTATTTGTTTTTTCTTTACTCGTCTTGCTGTTAAATTGTTGCCTTGTATTCACAAGTGATTTTATTTTTTACATTTTAAACCCTCATAAAATAGAATTCATTTCTGTGACAGATTTCTATCCACATCTGCCTATATGGTAACAGATAAGAAAAAATAGGATACAAAAAATGAATGAAAACAATCTTCAAGAAATTCTAAACAGTTGGGGAAGTCCATCCCAGGGAGTTTCTGCTGAGGGGGGTGTATGAGTTTATTTTATTTTCATAAACTAAAAGGGGCGGGACACACCAGTAAACCCAGAAATGCTCAGGGTTTACTCCTATGCTCAGGGATCAATCCTGGTGATGCTCGGGGCCCATGTGCGGTATCAGGGACAGAACCAGGGTTGACCACATGCAACACAAGTACCTTCCACCTGTCTTACCTCTCCAGCCCAGAAGTAGGATTCAGTGGGTAAAGACTATCACAGGCAGAAAGAACTAGTTATTGAGATGTATTGCGTCAGGAGATTGCAAACAGTTTCAGCATCTGGAGAATGGGATAAATCAATGAAGTACCTGTAGACAGAGAATGGTCTTGCTTCATCTGTACCATCGAGAAAGTTCATCTCAATTAAGGTAGGTGGAGTCAGCCTCATTAGACCTAATGGTTTACTTACACCAACTGATTACTCCATTAAACCACCGTTATATCATTTGTCCATTAAGGATTCACCCCAAATCCAGCGACTTCCAAAGACCCTGTTCTTGGCCCTCTGCCTGGTGCATCTCTTTTTCACTGGGGAGTTAGCAAGAGCCTTTTACAGGGGATTTCCCCTGCCTCTCACTCTGCTTTTCAGCTTTTGTGCCTTTTCCCACCTCTCTGCTCACTTCCACTCTGCATGGTTAGCAACACAATGCCCCAGAAATTCTCCTCAGTGACAGGCTAAGTGGCCATCACAGAGTTTCCTCAGTTTATATTTAGCCCTCCTTTGGGGTTAACTCCTCAAGTCGCTTCTGTAGAACCTAGCAGAAGATTCCAGTAAGTGTTGATGGCTAATATGACTGTGATTATTCTTCTGTATTTGAAGAAAAAAGTGATAAACTGAATAGTTTACATATTTGCATGCAATAGATATATAAAATATGCATTTTATATAATACGTGTCCTCCAGTTGTTCGTCGATTTACTCAATGTGAGCACCAGTAATGTCTCACAAAAAATTGTGAGACTTGTTGTTACTGTTTTTGGCATATCAAATACATCATGAGTAGCTTGCCAGGCTTTGCCGTGTGGGTGAGATACTCTCGGTAGCTTGCCGGGCTCTCTGAGAGGGGTGGAAGAAACGAACCCAGCTCGGCTGAGCCGGCCGCGCACAAGGCAAACGCCCTCCCCGCTGTGCTATCGCTATATTTTATATGATTTTATCTATTTGTATACAATTATCTATAAATATATGTTATAATTTTATGTGTTTATATATAATTTTATATTTATAATTTAGTAATATATAATATATTTTATATTATCATATATAATATATAAACTATATAAAGTGTAATAAATAGATATATAAAATACGTGGTATATATCATATTTTATATATTATATACTTTACGATATTTTGCATAAGGTAACATATTTTAAAGTAATATATTCTAACTATACTATATTTATGTTTATAATTGTACAGTCTTCTAATTATCTCTTCTAAGTATTTTAGATAAAGATAATAAACAATAAGCATGTCAAAGTTATAAACAGTTGGGAGAGGACTGAAGAGCTAGAATAGGGGATGAGGCCCTTGTCTTGTGCGTCACTTTAACCCACCTGGCTCTACTCCACCAGCACCACACAAGTTCCCAGAGCCCTTCCTGGGGTCACTACTGAACACAGAGGCAAGAATGGACCCTGAGCACCACTGGATGTGGCCAACACTCCTCTCATACACACACACCACACACACACACACACACACACACACACACACACATACACTCACAAGATATCATAATAAATTTCAGCGTCAAGGAGCTAGCGCAAAGAGCCTGAGTATATGCTTTGCAAGCCAAAGACCTGAATTTGATTGCCTGGCACCATGTGCTGCACCCCTTCTTGCCCCCATCACTTTCAAGGGTGACCCCAGAGAGAAGCAGTTGGGATAGAGAAGGGACCATTATGACAAAAATCGTTGTAAATGATCACTCTGGACATGAACTGCATGCTGAAAGTAGGTAAAGGAACAAACACGATATCCTTTTAGTATCTGTGTTACAGACCATAGTACCCAAAAGGGGAGAAAGAGGGGAGGGGGGAGAGAGCACCTGCCATAGAGCCAGGCTGAGGGAGTGGGAGGAGGGGGTGACAGGAGAAAAACTGGGGTCACTGGTGGTGGGAAATGGACACTGGTAGAGGGATGGTTGTTGGATCATGTATGACTTAAACCCAGTCCTGAACAATTTTGTGACTGTATCTCACAGTGACTCAATAAAATGTAATAAAATCGAAAAAAAAAAAAAAAGCAAGAGTGACCCCAGAGCATCTAGCCAGGAGCAGCCCTCTAGCACCCCTGGGTATGGCTCCTAGACCTGAAATCATAAATGTCAAACACTGGTAAGTGTTTGACAACCGTCTGAGCTGCTTTCCCAGAGGATCTCAGTGAAATCCCCCTCAGAAGGTGACTTTGGCTATGCCGGAAATCAGTGGGACCTGGGGAACTCCCAAGCTGGCTCCTCTGCGATTTGGGATCTTCAAAGGTCCTTCTGCCCTGCACAACTTCGTCCATTCTCGTCCTGCCTTGTGTCCACAGGCTCGTGTGTACGTCCTTTAACCCAGATGAGCATTGTCTGTTGAGAGCACAGAGTAGCAGCCGAATGCTGTATACAGGCAAGTGGCCCGCACTGCTGGGACCTGCCGAAGATATGGAAAGACTGGACCCCAGACAAAGCAAAGAAACACTTCCTCCCTGAGTGCTTCCTGGTCCCAGCTCACTGCCTAATGCCCGGTCATTGTACCCTCGCTGAAAGGTCACCATGGCCCTGAGTGGTTCCTGGCATGGTGGTGGTTAGAGGAACACTTTGTGATTTTTATTTGGTAGTTATCCTTGGCATTTCAGAACATGGAGGGGTTTAGCTTTTCATGTAATGCTTGCTCTAGACATGTTTCGCATTTGCTGTTGTAGCTACAAGCCACAGACTTTTAAACAGCTCCTATTCTCTCCCCCCCTCCCCCCAGCGATGCATCTATTTGGCCTCAACTGGCAGTTGCAGCAGACAGAAAATGACACATTTGAGAATGGAAAAGTGAATTCTGAGACCATACCAACCAACACTGTCTCGTTACCTTCCGGCGACAATGGTAAGAGGAGGAATTACATGTCCGGGGTTGCATTTAGCCTTTCTTTCACTTTCTTTTAACTCATAGGACATCTTCTTTTATATGCAAGAAGGAAAATGCTTGGAAATGACAGATATTACTCCTTAATAAGTGCATTTTATGAATGGACCTAAAAGATTAAAAAACAAAACCCACATTTTGATGATCAGAATAATGTGATTTTTCTGCCTTTTGTGTGAGTGGCAAGGCTCTTCTGCTTTTTTCTCCTGTGCCTTTTTCCCTTTCATTTTAGTATACGTTGAATTAGAGCCTAATTATCTGGGGTATACAATGCTTTCTTCATTCACTGAGTTTGTAAAGTTGGAATACTATTTTAATTTTGTCCTGAGACCCTTTAAATACAAAACACATTACAGGATTATAACTTATTGATCTTTCCTCTGGTTGCCCTTTTGCTAAATCCTTAAAAGTTTGCACTTGGAGCTAACAGCCTTTCAAATCATTTGGCTTCTGAATTGAAAATGGGCTTGAGGAAAATTGGAAAATGTGGAAAATGCTGTGTTTTGTCTTCCTGATATAAACATCCAGGAGAGCATCTCTCTCTCCATCCGAATGCTGATATGAGGTGTTCCCTTCTAGCATTTTCCATGGATCTGCATCTTGGCGTGTGGCATCGTCTGTCTGTTTTGAAAAAATGTCATAATACTTTATTTCTGAAAGCAACCAGAGCGAGACCCCGGCCTGTCACAGAAGACAGTGGTGGCCTTTAAATCTCTCCTAGTTCTTGCTCTGTTTTTCCTACGTCTTCTCTTACCCTTTGGCATGACTCTCTATGCACAAGTGCAGGGAGAAGCTGTTGTACATACATGATATTATTTATTCACTTATATACTGATAACTTGGACCTACCATCTTCTGTGGGGAGGCTCTCTTCTTTGTTCTGTTTTCTCTTTGTGGTCTTTTATTTTCTCATCTGCCATTTTATTTTTACAAGAAGACCTGGGGACCTTAGGTTTCTTCCTAGGATGGTCAAAGAATTTTTGATTGTATGTATTCCTAGGAATGATAAATTCCCCCCACCCCCACCTCCGGTCTGGAGTCACCTCATGATACTTGTTCCAAAAATCTCTTAACTGCTAGCTGCATGCCTGGGGAGTGACAATGACAGTAACTGACTAGCAGACTGCCAAGGAGGGAGAAAGGAAAGCTTCCTGATAAAAACCACAGGGTTTTGTATATCTAACCAATGGAGTGCTATGCAGCTGTTAGAAAAGATGAAACCATGAAATTTGCATATAAGTGGTTCGACATGGAGAGTATCATGCGAAAGTGAAATGAGTCAGAAAGAGCAGGACAGGCACAGAATGACTGCACCCATTTGTGGAATATAAAGTAACAATAATATGAGACTAACACCTACCGATAGTAGAGATAAGGGCCAGGAGGATCACCCCACCACTTGGAAGCTGATCTCATGTGCTGGGGGAAAAGGCAGGTGGGATGGAGAAGAGACCACTAAATAAATGATGGTTGGAGGGATTGCTCAGGATGGTAGGTGTGTGCTGAAAGTAGACTATGAACCAAACATGACGGCTGCTTAGTGCCTATATTAGAAACCATGATAGGCAAAAGGAGAGAGAGAGAGAGTAAAGGGAATGTGTCTGCCACAGAGGGAGGGGGTGGGAAGGGATGAGGTGGGGGGAGGGACACTGGGAACATTGGTGGTAGAGAATGGGCACTGGTGGAGGGATGGGTACTTGAACATTGTTTGATTGAAATATAATCACGAAAATGTGTAAGTCTGTAACTGTATCTTACCGTGATTCATTAAAATAAAAAATAAATAAATAAACGCGGGGTGGGACATTTCACTGAAGTCAAAGAGAAGGATTCTAACCCAAATTTAGGCCTTTCGTACGTTGATAAGGCTGATGAACAGATAGAGGATGTTGCAGAACCACCGTGAGCTCTGGGGGTCTGGATAAACAGCCCCGGGAGGGGTGGTGGGTGGCATTATGAACCACAAGTATTGGGAACTTATGTACAGACTGAAGAAATTATGCAAAGAAGGAGGCCTGCTGGGGCCCGTTTTATTTACATTCCCACATCCTTCTCACTTATTATGCAGAAAGGTGATGTGGAGTGGGGCTCAGGCCTCTCAGAGAGTGGACAGAGCCAGAGACGGTGCTGCTTCCTGTTGCCCATGACCATCTATGTCCATCTCTAGGAGCTCCCATAAGCATGTGCTCAAGTCCTAACTCCTTTCCCTATTGAGGTGAAAACCTTGGTCTTAGTTGTTCAGCTCTTCCAGAAAACTGTCCCACCTCCCCAGGAATCAACAAGGACTTTCCCCACCATGGCAATGAAGCAGAACACTTTGTACCCATCTCTGGGTGCTCCAGAGCTTGTGTTCTCTATCCCAGAGACTTCTAAACTATCCCCTATGGTGCCCACGCCGAGCCACAGCTCTGTCAGAAGTGTGACCCCAAATAACACCAGCCCCTGCCCCCTTGTTTTGTGAAAGGCACCTGCTGTCAGCACTTCCATCCACATACTCGAGATCTATATGGGCCAGTACCACCTCCAGCCTCCTCCTGGACGCCATCAAGGCTCAGAGGTTGGTGGTTCTGGTGCGGCACAGGCAGTGGTGGGAGAAGCATAGGTTTCTCTGCACTCGCTCCACCAGGGAACTCAAAGGAGGCTTGATGGGAAGAAACTGCTGACCAGGCTCAGAGCTTGACCAGAGAAGGACCTAACAGTTCTCACCCATTGCTCACTGCACCACCTCTGACCCCTGGCCCCTCTGACTTCCAGAGTTGTTGGATGCATGTCAGTGTCATCAATACTTTTTCTCCTTCTTCCTATCCAGCACCTCTACACACACACACACACACACACACACACACACACACACACACGAATTCTCATTTCTGTTCTTTTCAAAGGTTCTTAGTGGCTATCTCTGAATACACTTCGCTGGCACCCATGGGACATGGGAGTTGTATTTGAAAGAAGAGGGTACCTGGAAACCCCCACCAGTCCCATCGTCTCTTTAGAAATTCTCAGAGGTTGCACACCTTAAAGAACCCCCTTAGAATCCTAAACAAAAGCTAAGAGAATTAACCATGCTGCGCAGACGGAGAAAATTACCCCCAGCTTCTCAGAGCTCTAGAATGCAGTCGTGTTTTATTCTTGTTTTATAAATGTCATTCCCAGGCACAATCCTGGTTGCTTTGGTGGGGGCGGGGTCAGTCAGCTCCCTGCTGGCGTTGCAGTTAATACTGAGCAGAAGCTTCTCAACAGTCTTTCGTACTTCGAGGGAGAATTTCTGTCGTGTGCCAGGCAGCTCTTTCCCGATGATCCCTGAGAAATCCCCGTGCGTGCTCGATCTGAGATGTCACAGTTGGGGCGGGGGGGGGGGGGGGGGGGGGGGGGAGAGCGGAGCCTTCATAAAATCGATACAAGCAGACAGAGTGAATCAAGACAGGAGAATAGAGTTTTCCACTCAAACACCAGCGTCTTTCCTGAAACGAAAATGATTCCCCTGGACCAAGGAATTCGTTTAGCCTAATGTACCGGAAAGAATCACACAGGCCTATATTCAAATGCTCGCTCCTTCATTTGTTTACTTTGTAACCGCCAGCAAGTTACTTAACCTCTTAGAGACTCCATTTCCTCAGTCACAGAGAGGCACTAATAGTGGCCAGGGTGCCCTGTTGGAGTCCCCGTGCCCTGTACTCCTCACCATCATTGCAGATCTTCGTCCTGTGCTTCCAGCTCCCAGCTCTCTTAGAGTCAGACTTTGCATTCTCTTCGACACCAGTGCTTAAAAAACGTTAGAGGCCCTCTGAATTTCCTTGAGATCGAATCTCTTCACCTTTGCTCACCTATCTTTGCCATTTTCTCATTCTGGTTAAAGTTCATCTTCATGATTTTTTTTTCACTTGGGGTCACACTCAGCAATGTTCAAGCCTTATTCCTGACTCTCTACTCAAGAATCACTCCTGGAAGGGTTCAAGGGACTTTGCGGGGTTTCGGGCATAGAACCCAGGTTGGCCACATGCCTGGCAAGTACTGTAATTGCTTTGCTATCTCTGCAGCCTCTCTGTGAATATTCCTCTTTTAAAAAATTGAATGACGGTGAGATGCACATTTAAAAAGTTGTTCATTGCTGGTGGGAATGCTGACTGGGTCAGTCCTTTTGGAAAACAGTTTGGACAATTCTCAAAAAATTAGAAATTGAGCTCCCATTTGACCCAGCAATAGCACTCCTGGGAATATATCCCAGAGAGGCAAAAAAGTATAGTCGAAGTGACATCTGCACTTGTTTGTTCATTGAAGCACTCTTTACAGTAGCCAGAATCTGGAAAAAACCTGAGTGCCTGAGAACAGATGACTTATTAAAGAAACTTTGGTACATCTACGCAATGGAGTACTATGTAGCTGTTAGAAAAGATGAAGTCATGAAATTTACATACAAGTGGTACTACATGGAACGTATCATGCTAAGCGAAATGAGTCAGAAAGAGAGGAATAGACATAGAAAGATTGCATTCATCTGGGGAACATAAAGTAACAAAATAGGAGACTAACACCCAAGAATAGCCGAGATTTGTACCAGGAGGTTTACTCCATGGCTTAGAGGCCAGCCACACATGCTAGGGGAAAAGGCAGCTCAGATAGAGAAGGGAGCACGAAATAAAGGGTGTTGGGAGGATCCTCCAAGGATGGGAGAAGCATGCTGAAAGTAGACTATAGACCGAACATGATTGCCACTCAATGCCTCTTTTGCAAACCACAACACCCAAAAGGAGAGAGTGGAAAAAAGGGAGTGCCCTGCCACAGAGGCAGGGTGGGATTGGGGGTATGGGGGGTGGGAGGGATACTGGGATCAGTGGTGGTGGAAAATGGGCACTGGTGGAGGGATGGGTATTTGATCATTGTATAATTGAAACCCAAGCACAAAAATTTGTAAGTCTACAACTGTACCTCATGGTGTTTCACTAATAAAAAATTTTAAA